CGTTTGTTTTGCAGGGTATATGGTTAACTCAACAACTAGACCCAGCTGAGAATTACACAAATGTCTGCAGCAGGACACAAGCCACATCTGTTTGAGCTTCACAAATGTATTATTGTGAAATGCAAAAACTAGTAGCAAAACCAAACAAAATTCTGGAGTGCATGGGTAAGACTCCGTGTGCTACACATATGCAACATATTCAGTGCTTCCAAGCAGCTCTACAGAGGCAAGTCTCCCCTGCAAAACAGATGAACAGGGCACACCCATGTCCAGTGAAACTGTCACATCTGCATAGCATTGGACAGATAACACATGTACAACAGAACCCATTACCCAACAGCTAAGGTGCTGGAGAATGTGGGCTGGGACTGACAAGGTAAAGTAAAATAGTTCTTTAGATGAGAAATTAATTTAGTGAATCTTACTCATTTTAACACCACTTTAAACACCATCTTTTGAAGATGACATTTAATGCCAGAAAACCACAACAAGTTGCCATCCAGCAGTGGCATTTTTCAACCTCACTAGAAAACTGCCTACTTTGAGATTGAGTTTTAGAGCTCTTAGAACAGAATTTCTATTAGTTCCACCTGTAGTTTCCCAGCAGAATTAAAGGTTGCAAGAAGCAATTCTTCCAAGAAAAGATCTCTGTAGCCACTGTGATGGATGTATACATTTCAGTATTATGAAGATGATCAGAAATATGTCACACAGTAACATGAGACTGCTGAACATATCAGCACCTATATAATCAAAAAGATGTGGGAAAGCATAGATTTTCCTACACAGGACCTAAATCATGCTCAGACTTTACTACAGAATGAAAAAATGCGTTCAGATCTTTCCCATGGAAGCACTCTCTAACTTAAACTAAAACAAGCCATATTAGCTCACAAGTTAGAAGGCCTGGGTGCTACATTTTTTGTATTTAACTTTAAAGGAATACATTGCCACGTTGATAATTTTTCTCTTAAGATTTTGCTTGATTTCCCTCCCAGCAGGTTCTGAAACAATAGCAGGCAACTCACCTGAGCTGTTTTTAAGTTCCATTTTTAATTCTCCTTCTCTGTTTGATTCTGTTACTTCACAGCTGTAATTTCCAACAGTTGCTTGTGCACTGTGGAGCACCAGTGAGGCCACTCCCTTGATTAAATCCGCCTGGGATAAAAATCTTGCAGATGAAAACGAGGGATAAATATTAAACTTCTTGTTTCCTCCATGGTAAGAAAAAATTTTCTCTCCTTGCTTTTTCCATATAACGAACATGACATTTTCGTTGTTCTGTTCTAGATTAGTCACATAACAAGGTAAAACTACAGTTTCATTACAGTCATTTTTTTCTATAATACTTGTCCCAGAAAGTATCAACTGGGCAGAACCTACAAAAAAAAAAAATTAAAATTGACACATTCAGAATTATTTCTTAGTACTTGAGAACAAAGAAGAAATAATTGCAAGTGAATTGGGAAAAACAAAACAAACGCTCCTGTGAAACCACAAAAAGAGAATCATGCTTTAAGGGATCAGCAGAAGACAAAAAAAAGGCATTGTAATGCTACTTACTCCTCTACACATGCTCAGCCATTCTCACATTCATTTACTGTATAGGTGCCATAACTTACTATACATTAAAAAAATAATAAAAAAGTTGCCATTTATTTACTTGAACACATCTGCAATTTCACATGTGGAAATACTGCCTGGTTTCTGCATGCAGAATAGCATTAACCACAGCATACAGATAAAACACAGATAGGATTAACCACGTCCCACTGATGTTTGGTTTTTTGCTGCTGATCACACAAGTATCTAGAAACTGAGATCCAGGCATCAGCTCGACACAAACTTCCTTTACAGTTCATTAAGAACACTGGGAATAAAGTCTCACTATTACAATTCTGAGAGAAGGCAGGCAGGGCAGCTTAGTCATTAAAGCTTTGTCACTTGTTCCTTCTTATCTCTGAAGGTGGAGCCAAATGCCTATAGGTTTAGATCATTTCTTGCAAATTCTCTCTCTTTTCCTTTCCAGCGGAGGAGGTTTACACACAATACCATATATATTAAATAAGATTACTACTTAGTATTTGACTGCATACACGACAGAATTGAAAATGGAGAATTTGTAAAAATGACCAACCTGTGTTACAAATCACTGTGACCAAGGTCTCTAACAATCACATTCAATGTGGGTAAGGAAAAATAAACACTTCACAGGATTGTTACCACTGTTGGGTTTTCCCGCCTCCCACACTGCACCACAATTCTAAAACCGTAGTACTCACTGACCACTGTTTCAAGACCTAAACCCTATGCCAAGATTTTATCAAAAATGAAGATCCATTCATCACTTCTTAAGGGTGGATGCTAAATGCAAGAAGCAAGCAGGGAGTACCATGTCTGTGTGAACCTAAGTCATACAAGGTTCTCACTCTGGCCTGGGAAAGCGTAAAGAGGAATCTAAACAGTCTTTGGAGAAAGACAACAACCCTGCAGGTGTTGTTTAGGATCCTTGTTGTTGACTTGTAAGAAACAGTCAAGGGGTGCTGTTCCACTTGACCAGTTATAGTGATGTGCCAGTTTAATGACCAATGAGAGTTTTATCTCTCGGACTTGTCTATAAATGAAGATCAGGTATAATAAACTTTGCTCTCTTGGACAATACTGCTAAGAGAGTCTTTGTTGTATTTCTCACCATTCCTAATACAGTGCAACACTTAAGAATATCAAAAATCATAACAGCAGTATATAAATTACATCAGGAACAAGAAAAAGAAGTTAATAAAACTAGCTTGGCTGTAAGCTACAAAGGTTTTGAATATTTTATTTTCTCTATTTTTCCTTGTTTGTAAGAAATCATAAAACTTAATCGTTTTCTTTGTAGTAATTGTTCCCCAAAGTCCCAGAGACATTAATAATTCAAAATGCTTTACTACATCCATCTGATGAAGCCAAATATGAGAAAGGATATGACAGTCCCCTCATACTGTAAACACTGAGATTTACAAACTGGAACAGCTCCAGGGACTTCACAGGAACTACTGATACTCACACGTATAAAGCCAGCCCAGAATGATGATATGTATTTAGTGACTAAACTTAATTAGGTCAAGGGAAGAAAAATAAAAAGGGGAAAAAGAAAAAAAGCTACGTCACTATTTGCAGTAGCTCTTTATTTTTTTTCCCCTCAAATCAAAAGCCTCAGATCACATTTAAAAACACTCCTGCTTTAAATGTAGCTTTAATTGTCTAACACTGCTTCCTGGATTGCTACTGAATATCAAAAGCTTGAGGGTACCTCACAATGAAAAAGTATTCTCTGGTTTTACTCACCGTGTTGCATTTTTTAACTAATAAAAGCAACAAAAGCATACAAACCTCAACCTATGCCCTAATAAAAAACAATTAAAACCTTCAATGCGTCTTTGTGAAATTAATTTCACATCTGTTTCACACTAAATCATGATAACAACTGGTGGGGTTTTTCTTCTTTTTCAGCGCCAGCACATTTACATTTTTGCAGGCTCTGTCCTCTGCAATCTGGCCGCTTTCACGGAAGAGCCGGTGTGGCTGCTCTCCCGCTAAAGGGAGCCCGACAGCTTCTTGCAGATGGTACTTCCACTACAAACTTACCAACAATTCTGGTGCTAAGAGGAAGCCAAGAGAACCCTCTCCCAATAGTTACCAAATCCTGCAGGCAGTGGATTACTTAACCTCGAAGCTTCCCGTAGATTATCATTTCAGAAATGCCACATGAAGGTGACGATTTTAGACACTTACACTCGGCAGCGTGGGGGCTTCTGAAGAGCTTGCAGTTGCAAAGCTGCCAGAGAAAGGCTGCTGCACATGCAGGGCAAATTCAAAACTGCTGCACACAGTTGATAAAACTGGTTAAGTTTGGTCACTGCACCTGAGGGGAGCCGGCCCTTCTCACCTTCTCATGCAAACCACGCTGGGGCACTTGACATTTAAGTCCAGCTAACCCCAAAACCCAGACTGAAATTTCGACATGAGGTTTAAACACACAAGTTTCGGTGTGCTGCTTAGTGACAGAACAACACCTGCACCTCGGTGAAATTTTGTTAGCTCTGTCTCCCCACCGAGTCTCTCCTCAAGGCAAAGAAATAAGAATTTAAGACTGCGCGATGTCAACTACACTTGGATGGCACAAAAATCTAACACTGAAGATGCAGAAACGCCCTAGACCCCGTGCAGCAGAGGACCAGTGTGACTGTTTCAGGAAGACACACGGAGCTGAGCTGCCCTATTGCACAGGGAAGTGAGGAGCAAAGCTCTGGGCACGCCGTCTCTCCTCTCCCCCGCAACTTCTGCGGGGAGCAGCCCACCGCCGGTCCCGGGGACCATGCGGGGAGCGACGGCGGCGGGGGCTGGATGAGGGCGTGCGGCGTGTGTGCGTGTCCCCGCTCCTTCCCAAAGGATGGCGATCCACCGCTACGCGCCCGCAGTCCCACACGCACCGGCTGCCACCAGCAACAGCCGGCAGTGGCGGGCGGGAGCGCCGCGACTCCCCTCGCCGAGCGGCGGGAGCGGCTGGACAGGCGGCGGCCGCTCCGCCCCGCTGCCCCCGGGACTGGCCCCCGCCCGTCCCGCGGCTCGGGGGGCAGCTCAACCCTTCCCTCGCACCCCGGGGGCCGGGACCGCACGGGACGCGCCTCGGGGCGATGGCTGCGGCCGCAGCCGGAGGAGTCAGGACGACGAGGGAAGGGGAGAGAAGGCAGGAGGGCGGGTGCGGCGGGCACTCACCTGCGCGCAGGGCGCCGAGCAGCACGGAGGCGGCCAGCAGCCACATGGCGGAGCGGCGGCGCGCGGCCCAGCGCGAGAACGGCTCGAGCGGCGCCGCAGCGGGCGGGCGGGCGGAGGAGGAGGAGGAGGAGGGGGCGCTCCCGCCGCTGATTGGCCGCGGCCCTGGCGCGGGGGCGGGGGCACGCGGGGCGGCCCCGCCTTCACCGCCGGCCCCGCCTTCACCGCCGGCCTCGCTCCCCCCCCGGGGCTCCGCAGCAGCCCGCTGGATAAGCTGCGATAAGGCTTGTTTTTGCGGATGTTTTTGTGTCTTTTTAAAGTGATTATCAGGATGTATATCCCACGGCCGCCCGAGCTCCGCGGCCGCGGTGCTGTGGTTCGCGTTGCCCCGCACGCACAGCGCAGAGGGTCGCGTTCGGGGCCGGGTAAAATGGCTGCCAGGGGAAGTCTTTGGGCTCCAATAAAAGGGGAAGCGTTGACGTGCTGACTCCTCCACCGCTTAATTGATTGCGAAAGATCTTGATCTTTTGGAGGTGGGCAGGGCCGCGGCCCGGCGGGGGCGGGTGGGGATAGAGGGAGCGCTTTCGTTTTTCCCCGTCTCTTCCCCTTAGTCAGCTGACGCCGGGGGCCGAGGGCGTCCTCGTTGCTAAAGGCCGGTGGGAGACCGGCCGTGCCAGGAGTACATTTGCTCGTTTGCAGTCATATGCGCTAAGTGCAAATCAAACACAAGGTGTTCAAAAACACTGAAAAACTTGTAAGTCATCAGTTGTTGCCTTTCATTTAAAAGCGAGGATAAATGCTCCGTTTTCCTATGTTTGTGGTAATACGTACAATTAACTATTTCAGCAAATGTTTCAAGGAGGTTTTTTTGTTGTTTTTTTTTTTTCAGGGGTAGCTCTTTTTAGAACTTTTAATGTAGAGTTGTTTTAAAATTTTGAATCTATGCATACTTTGTTCTCAAACATATGTGTTGGTGAGGCATTAAAAAAAGGACTGTTAAATATATTTGGGGATCACACCTTTATGTACATTTATAGATGTGTATATATTTACAATGTTCTTACAAGTCCCAGAGTTCAACAGAGGATGAAGGCCAGGGCAGAATCAAAATTCTGTGAGAAACTGAATTTCCATAGGTTTTATGTCTCATATGGATTTACTGCATTTATGGGGGTTTGCAACATTTATATTGACTTTATATTGGGTAGGTCTACCCCACAAACACCCCCCCCTGCTTTCTGAGGCTCTGTTCTCTTAAATTCTCCCCCAGCCCTCCCTAAGTGATTAATGGGTACCAATGCCTTGACTGCCACATTTGTTTCCTCCAGATATTCATAAAGCACTCAGACATCCTCCAGCATTCAAGTTTAGTAAAAAGCCTTGAGCTGTGGGAGCCATCAGACTCGAGAAACGATGGAGGGGGCTGGCACAAAGCTGCTGATCCTGCTCCTGCCAGACTGACTCAGATGATGTTCTCTGGAGGCCAGAAGAGATGAGCTGGAGCAAAAGGTAGCAGGGAAGACATGTCTGCGTCAGCCGTAGCTCATATCTGTGTTTGTGCCCTGCGTGCCAGCATGCTGATAGCCAGAGGCACTGGGGTCCCCTCTGTGGGGAGCTGTGCAGCATTTTCTGTAAGAAAACCAGGGATGCTTTCCGGCTGCAAAGAGGAGAAGGCTACAGCTGCAGCACGCACTTGTCCCTGTTGCTAAGGTAACACATATCACACCCACGCTGGCCTAGAAGCAAAACAGCGCGCATGGGAAATTTCGTAGGGCCAGGAGCCTCGCGTGGGAGAGCACTGCTTTTTCAGGTGCTGCTGCCTCCCATACTACTGAGCCGGGTCTCACAAATCCCTCAAAGATAACTCTTCGCATGCAGTTTCCCTGATTGTGTTGGAGGTTGCTATGCCATCCAGCTAGGTGTACACCTGAAATACTTTGTCTTGTAATGCTCTGCCTTCTGCTGCCAAGGAATGTCTGCAATGACTCTGCTTGCTGATGGTTTCGGGCAGCAGGACTGTGCAGCACAAGGCAGTTCAGATGCCCGCTGAAACAAAGGTTAGGCAGCTCTGCTTTACATTCTGAACCAGGAACACAGAGCAGCCCCTGCTGTAATAAAAGAGCTGCATGCTTTTAACCACTTTCCAACATGGCTCTTGTTTTGCCCAGCAGTGCATGCTGTAGGTCACAGAGAAACACATCTCAGCAGCTGTGAAAAGCACATCCCCAATGCCGATTTGTGTTTAAGTCCAAGTGCTCCAAAAATAAGAGGTTATATATTTTGAAAATTGCTTGAGTCTCTCATTTATGACTTCCAAGGCACACTTCTAGTCTTTAAATTAAGCAACTTATTTTATTACCACTACTAGGCACAGATCTGCCATTTTATACTGGTTTACAGCTCTTTGGAGTGCCATTGATCCCTCTCTGGGGTCAGAGAGCTGTGACAGGCACGAGTCACATACAAAAGCCTAAAAATGTACAGGAGGCAGAGACTGCTGTGGCTGGCAGGAAGCTGCTGAAGAGTGACATAAAAGCCTGAGTGCCTAAAGCAAAGGGTGTCAGTAGCTGTGATTTGTCAAAGTGACTGTGAGAGCTGTCTCCCTTGGCAAGAAATGCAGTGGCCAGGCCTTCATCTGTGTTCCTGGACTCACTCACCAGAGGTACCCTACCCTTACACAGAAACCACCCACACCCAGAGCTCACAAGGCAGCAACGTGATGGGTAATACCTTGTTCTCCCTCAGGCACCAAAAGGATTCATAGAGGAGCATTTTATCCTTTTCGCTTCTGATCTGGAAACCTAAGGATGCCGAGGTTAAATGAACTGACTAAGGTTGCATAATTAGCCAGTGGCAGAGCTGAGAATAGACACCATCTCCATTTTTCCAGGCCTAACATCTAACTCTCAGGCCCTTCTTGGGGGCATAGGCAGGCTAGCAAAACTGTATATCACGGCTGTATAGAATATGACATTTTTAGAACAGGCTCAATCCTGAATTTACTACAGCTCTAATAAAATAAAAACAAACCGAAACCAAACCAAACAAAAACACAGGAAAATATTAAAAAAAAAAGGAAAAGCAACAATATTTTCTTTTTACAGTGCTCCTGCATGGGTAAGAAGGTAAAAATGGAATTCAAGTGACATTTATAAATATTAATGGACTTCTAAGCACTAGCACATTAAACAAGTTCCCAAGGGTCAAAGCCTGAATTAACTTTGAGTAATAGTTGCTGAAGACCTAGGCAAAAATAAAGCAATGCTGTGAAGAAATGTTAATCTTTCACAGATGTTTGGTAGGGCTAAAATGCAGTCATTTGTCCTCCATTTCAAAACAAACTATTTTAGGGAAACAGTGCTTCTTTCATGCTCCCAACCCTCCCCTTCTTTGCTTACTCTCTTTCTACTCTTGTGTATTTGAATGCATTTTTTTGCAATTTCCTTTCTTCAGCTGCTGCTGTAGATGCTGGGATTTATCAGGCAACTTAGTAACCTGAGTGAATTAGTGGGGGAATGTGGAAGAGAAGAAATCCTGTTCACTCTTGTTCAACAGAAAGCACTCTGGGAAAGGTTCAGCTAACAGTGAGACAAGGGGGGTGAAACTCCAGCCTGGGAAACTCTCCTGCCTGAGGGCTTCTGAACGCAGATTTGTGTTCCAGGTCACTGAACCCCTGCTGCAGACCGCAGCTGAGACAGCTGAGCAGAGCAACCTAGGGGTTACCTGCAGCTGCCCTCCACTTACGTAAGACCTGGACAACTGGATCAGGTTATTGACAAGCCAAGAGGAATTACATGTCATGGTAGCTAGGCAGTGAAGATGGTGATCTGCTTTCACTTTAGGCAATTTGCTCCTTCCAAGAACGTCCTGGAGTGGTGAAGCAGTATGTATAATTTCAGGGAAAGGTTCAGCTAAGCTACTTGGTTCTCAAGGGTTCTAGAAACCTCTCATTTCATGCAAGATTCACTCGAGAGAGGGTCATTTTTTCTAAAATATTTAAGGAGAAATGTTCATAGCTTTGACTATGAAAGACACGACTTCCGATGCAGTGCAAGTCAGAGTCCCGTTTGATGTCAGAGAGAATTAAGCTCTACCTGTCCTCAAATATCTGGCTCAGTCACCTAAATGCATTTACAAAGCTGGCCTTAGCAGCTTTCATTAGTGGCTGGCAGGTCTCTGAGCACAAAGAACACACTGTCCCCCACACTACGAGTCTTTGTTATCAGTGCACCCATTATGTTCAATTAGTCACAGCATGGAGCATATGCTGACCGAGCCTAGCACTTTGCCTGTCTGTCCTGCCTGGGGGCACCTACCAGCCCAGCCCAGCCACCACCCAGGTTCTGCAGCCTGCAAGTACAGGCCCAGGGCAACACAGTGCCACTGCCTGCGTCAACACAAGATCCCTGAATCACAGCTGGCAGAAAGAAGGGCTGTCCCTGCTCCCCTTCTGCACTGCAGCAGCCACAGCCAGTGATGGCCCCTACAAATCACACCCATGGACAAGAACAGTATGTTTTATGAGATGTCTGCAGAGACACCCATGCCCACTGACTCTCCAGTGCTGCAGACTGATTGGCTGCCTACCTTCAGCCAGGATGGGCTGAGGATTAGCTGAGGCTTCCCAGACTTCCTCTACATGGCACACTCTCAGTGTGGTCTTGTGCTTTGTACTCTCCCTCCTCCTCCTCCTTAGCCCCAACCCAGTCTGCTGCTGTCTTTCATGAGATCCATAGAAATATAATTATCATGGAGATGTCTGCCTCTGGCAGTATTTTTTTTTCTTTGGAAATAATTATAATTGGCTGTGGCAGTTAAAAACTTATCAGTGTAGACAGATGACAGACAGTACAATCACATAAGCTTCCCTCTGAGAAAATAAAGCTAAAACCCATTTATCATCCTGGATGGAAACAAAAGGTCTTCCTTTGAAGAGTCAGGCTGTGAAAACACAAAGAGAAGACTGTTATGCCCATGGATTAAATCTGTGGTACGTAACCAAGTACAAGCAGTCCATTTGCAGCATGATGATACTGTAGTAATTATCACTGCTTTCATCTGAGAAATACCTAGATGGGAACATATCAGCCCACTCAGAGGCAGAAACTGAGGTCCCAAGAGGATAATTAAGACACAACGACCTGAAGAGTGACTGTACCACAAACACAGAAAAAGTAAGTATATTCCCATAGTGTCTATAAGGGCTACTTGCATGGGGATCCACTACTGGACATGATCACTTATTCCTGGAGTAAGTCATTAACTGCCCTCTCCCAGAGACCAGAAAATTTTGATTCCTAGGTACATCTCCAAAGCACAATCTCCTGGGACCATCTTTCCTGTGGCAGCTCACATGCCATCCCAGGAGGAGTCCATGCTGTCCTCAGCTTCCTAGCAGAGCCCAGGCAAGGACTGTGCAGTCCTTAGAATCATAGAACCGTTTGGGTTGGAAGATTATCTTAAAGATCTTCTAGTGCCAACTCCCACCACACCCCTGCCACATACAGTGACAGCTTCCACTAGACCATGGTGCTCAAAATCCCATCCAACCTCATTTTCAACACTTCCAGGGATGGCACATCCATAACCTCTCTGGGCAGCCTGTTCCAGTGTCTCACCATCCTCACAGTTAATCTCTTCCTAACATCTAATGTAAATCTCTCAGTTTAAAGCCATTCCTCCTTGTCCTATCACTACCTGCCCTTGTCAGTAGTCCCTCTCCAACTCTCTTGCAGGTCCCTTTAGGTACTGGGAGGCTGCTCTAAGGGCTCCCTGAAGCCTTCTTTTCTCTAGGCTGGACAACCCCAACACTCTCAGCCTTGTCCTCCCTCTGTCTTGGTTCAGCAGCTTTCAGTCTCCAACTGGGTAGGATAATCCAGCCACCCTACACAAAGTCTTTTTTTCGGTAGTAATTTTTTGCAAATTATTTTAACATCTGGCCCTTCTTTGGCCTGAATGGTTTCTAATGGCATGCAGGTTAGCAGTCCTTTATTTTATTCTCAATCCAAATTCAAGTTGGGTGCAATTGGGGAGGTAAGTGGGAGGGCTTCTCTCAGTGCTAATTTAAAACAATCCATAAGAATTCCTGAGATGTTTTTAAGCAAATGAAATCTGGGTGAGGAGAATGGCTATCCTGTGGAAGCTGCTGACTACTCAGTACATATGAACAGATGATAGCCTCAAATTCCACAAGACATGCTTGGATCTAATGGTATTTGCAGAGACACAAAGAAAAATACTGTTAGCATGCAACCAGTTGTTGTATGGGAGAGGGCTGAGAAGGGAATAGAGAGAAGGGAGGATGGGAGAGATAAGGACAGAGAAATACCAGAAACAGAACTGCACAAAATGTTTTCTCTAAGTTTAGTTCTCAGGATTACAGACAGTCCACCAATAAACTCACTAATTGATATGCCTCATGTGCAGCCACATTAATGTCACAACTATGTCACTTGGCCAAGTGCTTGATTTCACAGACAAACTCTTCCACTTTGGATGAGATTGTGGAT